CGAAACGAGGCTCATACACCGAGACAATGCCGGCTCGGCGTCTGTTCCCGATCTTCCTGGTGGTGTGATTGAGATGTGTGTGTGGGTGTGTGTGTGTGGTGTGTGTGTGCATGTGTGTGTGTGTGTGCGAGCGTTGGTGTGTATGTATGTGGGACTGTGGGTGTGTGTGTGTGTGTGTGTGGTGTGTGTGTGGTAATGTTGTGATGTGTGTACGTGTGTGTGTTTGTGTATGTGTGTGTGTTGTGCTTGTGTTGTGTGGTGTTGTGTTGTGTGGGTGGGGTGTCGAGTGTGGGTGTGTGTATGCTGTGTGGGTGTGTGTGTGTTGTGTGTGTGGGTGTGTGGGTTGTTGTGTGTGTGTGTGTGTTGTGTGTGTGTGTGTGGGTGTTGATGTGTGATGTGTTGTGTAACGGTGAAGGTGGCAATAATACGCTCGGTGCTTTTGTTATTTTGTATCTATATGCTTTACTGTCATTGCACAGTTGTATCAACGAAAATGGCGGTATATGTTAATGGTAGGTTGATGATACGGCTGTAACGCGAGATCGCTCGTCACTCCTCCGCTGCGCACTGCATACTATTCTTCCTCTGTGAATTTGGGGAGCTTTGGTCTTGCAAACAGGAAATTATGGGTTTACGGATCATTTAGTTGGCTGCGATTTCGGGTTTCCAAGCTGTTCGTGCGTGCATGTCGTTGTGTGTTACGCGTGCGTGTGCGTGCGTGGTAGCGCAGTTAATGATGACTGTATATGTGGCGTACTACCGAGCCGTGGGTTATTATGAGACGTGTTCATTGTACACACATCTGATAATTTCGGTCATTGTTTATATGATTTAAATTTGGTTCTGTAGCTAATTGTTTTTTATGCGTTAGCTTCCGGTCACAGATCCGTTCTGCATTGTTAGTCGGTGCTTTTATACAATGACGTTCGTGGGTAATAGAGTATTGGGAAATCGAGCTATGTGGCGGGTGAGTACGGCTTATAGTTTCCACAGTGGCCATGACGAAGGTGCCTGTCAGTACGAAGGTTACGGCGTTAAAATTTAACTTGCCGACCGTTACTCAAAGTTTCTTCTCGATGCAAATAAACGTTAAAATATGAGCCACCAAGCCGTGTGTTAACCTAGGTGCATCAGGCCTATAGCTGCACTAGATTTTTAGCTCCCAAATGGACGCAGACGGACTGGCATAAAATCGCACGCGTGCAATATGTGTTGAAGTTGCAAGATCGGCTAAATGAGAAGAGGACAACTGCGAAAGGCTTGCTAGTTATAGTTAACCAAGGAAACCTATTTTCTTTGATTAGATCCAGGGGCCGACCCACAATTCACTTATTGGTCCACCTGATCGGTGGCTAGTTGTATTGAATTTTGTAATGTTCACTGCTGTGTGGGACTTTTCTGATATGATAATTTGCGGGTGATTGATGTGTGGCCGATGTGGCTTTGAGTGGTGTTATCTGATGATTTCAATAATATTGTGCCATGATATGGCCTGTAATGGCCATGTAAATGGCCTTTGGATAATATGCATGGTATTGTGGTGCTATGATGAAATGTGGCATTGGAAATGTGGCGTTTTGTGAGGAACGTAGACTCAAGCTGTGGTATGTCACAGAATCTTAAGTTGTTAATATTTGTTTAATGAAATGATAATGAGTTATATTATACTTGAGAGTCCACGGTGTCACTCATTGAATGCTGGTCTTTCATCTGGTGATGGTCCCCGGTCATGGAGTGAAGGTTTGGAGCTCTGCAGTTTTCGGTTACTGGACGTTTTTAGCTGCATTTCTGCATGTAGTCCATTGGGAAGCCGTGAGTTGGCATTTTGCATGAATTGGATGCTGCTGTTCTAGATCGGGTTGTCGCTTTTCTATGTGCGTGGTGGGTTGCTGTCTGCTATTGTGTTTTGTATCTCATCAATTGTCTGTCATTTGATGCGTTTTCGGGGGTGAGTGTTATAAGCGCTTTTGCATGCGCATCTCTCTGTGTAACGTGTGATGGTGTTCTCCATGGTCTGTGGCTCGCAGGGACATAATGAGATCTGGGTATTGTAATGTTGGGAGGGAGATGCACGGAAATTTTCTACTGTGGAGTGGTGTGAACCTGCAAGTCCATATATGGGTGTGGTGTCTGCAGGCCCCGTTTAATCGTTTTCGCGCATCTTTGATCGATAGTGGCGGGGTAGAAATCCAAAACACATCTTCTCTCCTCTGATGTTCTGTGGGGAGTGGGGTGCAAGGGCGACTCTGCTACTGTGCAGGGTTTTGTTTTGCAGTTTTATTTTTTGGACAGGTTCTCTCCAGCATTTTTTGGGATGGAGGTGGTCCGGTTGTACATGTTCGGTTTGGATGTTTTTGAAGGAGAACTTTTTTTAGGATGCTCTGGGCAGGTGCATGCTTGTTTGTTTTTTGTTTGGGGGATCTATCGTTGTCGTGCCATGGGCTTTGGCTAGGCAGGTGGAGTGGGTAGGATTTTTAGGTTTATTCATTTCTGCTTTCAGCCCAGGTTATCATTGTGTGGTTTGTCTGACAGGTTTTATATGTCATGACCCATCCTGTGCTTTCTTTCCGAGCGGTTTTGTGTGCAGTGGGAATGTCTTATAGCTTGGTATATAGTATCTTGTCGTGGTCACAGATGGTGGGGCCTCATCAGTGACTTGTTTGCTTGTCCGGTAGGCCTTTCTCATATTCTTCTTCAGAGATCTTGTCACATCAGGGTGGGAGCCTTAGCGGTGTCAGTGGGAGTACAGATTGGGTCTCCAGGATGGGGGTTAGGATTGACCGTTATTCTTTCTGCTGTTATAGTCAATGGAGTTGGAATTGCTTCATATTTCTTGTGCTTGGTCTGTTGTCTGGCTGGATCGCTGACAGTTTGGGTGCTTTATTTCAGGTCTCCGTGTATGATGGTATCATGCTGTCTCGGTCGTTGTTGGTTGTTTGGGTCCAGCTCCCTGTTTGTCTGTCTTTTTCCTTCTAGCTCTGTTGGGTGTCTTTGGTTACGTTTCTTCTGTATAGTTTGGTAAAGTGGAGTCAGCCAAGGGTGGATGGTGGAGGCCTTGACTGAGAGCCGGCTTCCGGTGATCGCTTTGTATCTGGGTGTGTGATTGGTGCAGCTGGGCACGCGATTGTGAGGTGTAGTAGGGACGTGTGGGGTTATCTTGGTAGCGTGGCTATTCGATCCTGTCATTGCGATTTAGCATGCGTATTTGCTCGGCTGCTTGCATTGTTAGCATCGGTCTCTTATCTGTATTGATGCTCGGATGGCCCCCCAATAGATTTCCATGTCAAGTTGGACTGCCGGATAGGTCGGCGGTGCGTTTCCCTCTGGAACTCATGGTGATTAAACGTGGTGATGCGTGGTAAAGATTTTCTCAGGCTTCGTAAGCAGATTCGCTGTTCTTGTCAGGTTGGTATGGTCTCAGTGTCGCTTCAGTGACCATGTAGTTCATTGGTTGTTCCTTGGGCAGGAACATTTTGTCAGTGCATGTGGAGCTTCTATAGAGTTATGTTAGTCGTTACTGCGCTGTTGTATTGGCGGCAATCCTACTCAATCATGGGTTTCTGCATAGATGCCAGACTCGATTGAAGAGTCTGGGTTTCCGCATTTTGGAAACGGCTTCTCTATTATGCCGCGTGTTGTGATTGTTGTAAGGATGTCCAGTGCTGTGATGGGTCATCTTGTTGTGGAATTGAATTATACATTTCACTTTTAATTTGGGGATTTACTTTACCGCCATGCAAGTCACCCCTTTTTTTTGACAATTTGCTATGGTGTTGCCCGAAGGTGTCCCAGATATATGGCTACATGGCAGAATGCAATACACGGATCTGCAGCAAATGAACAGGATGTCATTAGGAGTTTCATGTCATTTTTGTTCTGGGGGGGTATCACTGTATCATAAAATGCACATTGGAAGTTTTGCCACAGGTGGGTGGTCCGCTTATTGTTGGCCTGGATAGATGGTGCTTGCATGGAAAACCGTATGCCGATAACCGGTGTTGCGATGTGTGTTTAGTCTCGGGACGTCGCTAAATACTATCGGAGGTGTCATATATGATAGATAATGACTCCATATTATGTCAATTGCTATTATAGTTGCATCCCTATTGTGTAGTCTATTTAGATATTGACTCCTATTATGTCACTCTATTATAGATATGACAATTCCATTTATGTTCTTTAGTAGATATGACATCACTATTTTTAATCATATATAGTATGACTCTTATTATGGACATCTGATATTATTAACTGAATTGGAATTGACATTAATGATGTATTATATTTATTTATATATATGGAATAATTCAAAATCGAGCTAGGTTCTTGTTTAAAAAACGATATTGTGCAAAAATATATCACAAAAGTTGACCCCACCCCGCGCTCGCCCCTTCCCGTGTGCGCTAGCGTCGTTTGCGCGGAATATATTGCTTCAGTGGAATTTTAATAACTAGACACAATGATTTAACACCTGCCGCAGGCGCTCCCTTAGCTTCGATGCTATTTCCGAGGTAAGCGCTCACAGCTTTCGTTAATGCACGGAATTATTCACGCGCTAAATACCCGGGAGGTAGGGCCTATATTTATTCTAATCCCTCGATCGTCATTACCCACGCTAAAAATCTCCTTCGTGACATTGTTCCAGTCGTATGCGCAATGTCAGCACTTAATCATCCACCCGTTGAAGCTCGGGCACTTTCTAATATATTTGTGGTCGCTTGTGAAACCGTGTAGGAAACACCTTGGAATCGACTACGCAGCCAGACGGCAGCACAGTCGCTTGTAAAACGGCAAAAGCGCTGCCAAATGCAGCACAGGTGGCGTTTGGAAGCCGCGCCAAGCCACATAGCTCGTGTCAGCAAGTTGTATTAACACACATATACAGGGTAATTACAGATATACACGTGATATTAATGATGTATAAGATATATTAAAGATATACAGGTTATACTAGGATATAATAAAGATATATAGAGGTTATAATAGAGTTATTTTTGCAGGATTATCCGGGCTGGATGGTGACATGGATCATAACTAGCATCTCGTTAATGGCGCTGGAGACGGTGGCGATGGTATACCTCATCGTTCTGCGCAATCACGTGACGAAGGTGAGTAGACCGGATGCGGCTAGCATCTATCGTAAACCCACGGATGTGTATACGAGTTAGCATAAATATCGAACTGGACCTAGCTATGTACGTATTAAAGGTTACATTTCCCCAATATGCTGATATCGCGTCTGGGGGAGCAACGCGTGTAATATGCCTAGCCTGCCCACCCGCAGGTATATGTCCACCTCCATAGCTGGGTCTGTCTCCAGGGGCACTCAGGGCAAGAACAATACAGGGAAAAACAATGACTGCTCCAAAAGGGCATGCTCCGATTTGTGGAAATTAGGTCGAATGAGGTGAAGTATTAATTGTTGTAACAGACAGTTTTCTGATTGGTTAGCCTTCATTAATTACATTGCATTAAAATGCGTGGCCATGCATCTCAGTTAAGGATAGATATCATGATGTAGCCATGTAGAGATGACATTAGCTCAGAACAGCACTGTCTTGCCGTACCTCATCAACGTCTTACCTCATCTACTTATATAATATGTTCGCTTTAACTAAGTATTTTATCTATTGTGCTAAACTATCGATTAATGGTCTTGCTTAAAGCTTCTCGCGTACGGCGTACAGTGTAGTAATTACGCGTGATTATGAAATGTAGCTGCTACTTAAGTAGCGTAACCAATTAAAAGATGCAGTCCCTTGTCGTGAGAGAAAAACGAGATCATTATCATGAATTATTCACGTGTATCTCATTATTAGGCGAGTTCTTCATTATTATCTCATTATTAATAAGTTTTTTGTGCTATATTGAAATAGCTTCCATAATTGTCGTCGGTGTCGTCTAAATACACGTGAACTCGACGTGACATTTTGCCGCGTAAATAGTATGTAAGAGGTTTTAATATTTACCGAGTTCATCCTTATAGTTAGCGCACTATAACTCTATCAAACCGTGATTCTCTCGTCGATGCCTGCGTGGCGGTTAGACGTATTATTATAACGCAAACACTAAATGGAGAAGTGTTATAGGCGTTATAGAGACGTTATAGAGAGACGTTATATAGGCATTATAGAGGCGTTATAGAGAGGCGTTATAGGCGTTATAGAGGCGTTATAGAGAGGCGTTATAGGCGTTATAGAAGCGTTATAGATAGGCGTTATAGGCGTTATAGAAGCGTTATAGGCGTTATAGAGGCGTTATAGAGAGGCGTTATAG